GAAATTTATTTGCCAGCCTGAGTTTGAGAGAAAATCAGCAACAAAGACACCTTTATTAACAGAACAATTAAACTATATAGGGAATTTAGCCTTCAGACATTCTTATCTAACCCATAAATCTGTCCAGAAAATAGAAACATATAGAATTCCAAAAAGATATTATTTTAACACAACAAATCTATACCTTACATTAAGAAATACATAATCTCCAAATGTCTAATTAAATAAACTACTATTAGCTATTCTGTTGTTGATATATGCTGTAGTAGAAAATATAACATTTGCGTCCAGTTAAGCTGTTACAAAATAAAGCTATTGCCATAACATATCAACAGATTGTCCGCCAAGGACTTTTTCGTTTTGAAGGCGATACGTTTGCAATACTTCCGTTATAATAATTTGTTACATTTTTATTGATTTACTTCTCTTTGAAATTACGTTTACTATCTCTTCATGTTCTACTACTTTTAAAGGTTTCTTGCTTTCGGCAACACCAAAATTGGTAACATTTCTCCACCTTGGATTAACTTTCTTCAATTAATGTGATATTTATACTATTGTTAGTTGAAGTTGCTCGCTTTTAAAATTAAAAAAGAAGAACTAGTTTATGCTTGGTGAATATTGTATATATAAAAATAAATAGCATTTACGTCACAAATATATATTGTATTAGTACATCCTAGCTACTACAACAATACAATGACAAGTCTGGAAAAGCTCGAGAACCAGTGACTACCAATTAGCAAGTTGAAGAAATATGCAACAAAATGGGTGATTAAAGTCTTAGTCATTCGACGGAGTTTAACAAAAGAGTATAAAAATGCAAACGGTGAGGGTATTCGTTGGCAACTGATATTAGCTGACGAAGAGGTAACCCTATTTTAATATTTAATTATATTCATTACTTAATATGTTGACTTCTTTTGCGATTCTAATGATTATGGTCCTTACCACAAGGTACAAAAACACAAACGACTACTTGCCTTTTGTGATGTAAAATCATCCATTTACCAAGGTATAAATCTCCTCAGTTGATATATTTGAGTCAAGTTTCAAACTACATAAAAGTATCACTGAATTAATTACTCCTGTCAAAATAGGGGATTTTGTCCTTTCCACGACTCCTGTTAGTAGCTAATAAATCCACAATTTGAAAAAATGAACAATCTCCAAGAATGATAAATAATACATGTTTACATAAATGGTCATTCTAACACAGATAATTAACTCTTTACAGATCGTAGATACTAACAACATTACATTGCTTCAAATCTCAGGTTTAGAAGACCCAGACACACCTATGCAAGCATGATGGATTCTTCATCGACCCATACTCTTCAATGTGTTAATGTCATATTCAGAATAGTTCTTTAAGTACTATTATGAACTTTCTTGATATCGTATTCCATTCTAATGTTTTAATATTATTATTAATAATAATTTATAGTACTTTCATACTTTTGTTTTGACACTTCATATTAACTTCATGTTGATGTTCCTACTTATTATTAAGGCATAATTCATATATTGGACCCTAAACTTGGCTTCAAATTTTAACTTTGACCTCCAACTTTCAAAGTGCACAAACAGACACTTTAACTATCCAACTTTTAAATAAATAAACACACAAATTTTGCAGCCAAAGAGCGTGAAATGCAAACGCTCCAACATGTATTAGTGTGCCACTCAATGGCTGCCAACTAATTAAATATTTTACACGTCATTTTAGAACTATAAAAAATCAAAATTAATTTTAATTTATATACAAGAATCAAAATTAATTCCTCCCAATGGTTTTTAGAGCTTGGAGTTCATTGTTTGACGGAGCTTAGAGGTTTGTTGATGGCTGGCTTCTTGGTTTAGGTGTTTGTGGTTGTTGGGTCTGTTTTCATGGGGTTTGGGGGGATTCTCACCAGAGATGGCGGATCTGATGGGTTTGGGGTCGGGTATTTGGTGGGTTTAGCGAGCTCGAAGCTCGTTCGTTTCATGGGTTGTGCTCCGGTGTGAGGAAGAAGGAGAACGGCTAGGTATTTGGTGGCATTTTGCCCGAAAAAGAAGAAAATGAACGGAGGTTTTGGGTTGCCGAAGATTGGCCGGAATCCGGGAGGTAGAGTTGTCATTTCAACATTTTTTTACTGTTGTGGGACTCGAAAATTACTCCTAACTCGCGCAGAATACGTGCACATCACGCGTTTTGCAAAGTAGGATTTGCATGTTTATTTATTAAAAGGTTGGATAGTTAAAGTGTCTGTTTGTGCACTATGAAAGTTGGAGGTCAAAATTAAAATTTGAAGCCAAGTTTAGGGTCCAATATTTGTATTATGCCTATTATTAAATGCATACGTTAAATCTTTTTCACTATAGGAGATCAATAATAGCTCATGCAATCATCAGAAGACTAATTAACACAATGTACACTTTTACTACATCAATAATAATGCCCCCACTCATGACAACATTGCTTTACAAATGTCTCTCCACAAAGAATAATACAACTTAACATGGCTCACACGTGCAACGCACGTGTTCCTGACTAGTATTATTATAAGTGAGAAGCTCCAAAGTGTAAAGTTAGATTACCATTTTACCCCTACAGTAAATAAAAAAAATATACATCATCTCATTAATTATTAATTTGATATTAAACTTTAATTACCTCTAAGCTTGCTGAATATCATAAAAAACTGGAAAAAATATGAAAAGTCACATTACATTATTTATCATAGTCAGCCATTAACATTGTTTTAAAACCTTTCCAAACTAAATCGTTGTTTTAAGAAGTCCAAAAAAATGTTTAAATACATTATCCAATTAAATGTGAAATTAAAGACATTAAAGAAAATGGAAGATAAAAAGATGTGTATCAGTTTTCAAAACCCTCTTTTCTATAAATTAATTTCTTAGAACTCTTGTCTCTTCATTTGCCTATATTGAATGAAGATGATTTTTTCAAATTTATAAATACAGATATTGAATAATATCAAACAAGCGTATGATGAAAGGTTAGTTATACAATTGCTAATTGCCAAATCCTTACTTTTATTTGATCGCTTCGTATTATTTTAATTTTAGATTTCATGATTTATATGTATATCACATTTAATTGTATTTATGTTTGTCATTTTTTCTTTCTCAGCTTTTGTGGCATCAAGATTACAAGCAGCTATAATATATGATGATAACTTCCCTATTTTGTTGTTTTCTCTGTGGGAATTTCTTAACAGAATTATCATTTTAATTTGTAAAGCATCGATATTTTGGACTTTCAAATCATTTTGGAACAAAAGTTATAGTGCTTCAAGATACTTCAGTTCATTTTTAAATGAATTTGAAGTTATATTTTTCAAGTGACAGGATAGTTTCTACATCTACAAATTAGGTATACAATTCTTTTTTATAATTTTTTTTTTTTTTTAGTTCTCATATGTTTTTTTAGTACAGTGTTGAAGTGCTGGTATTATATTTTACCTCTTCTGCGTCAACTAAATTGAGAAACTTGTTGTTGCATTTTTACAATCTCATATTTAGTAATGTCCAAATTCTTGCTTTATAAAATTATATTATTTAGGATTTATATATATTATACTTTATGTATTACACACTATAATTGCATATAATTATACATTTAATTGTTTATGAAGGTAGGTTATGAGAAAAAACAACATATGAAATTCTAATCATTTGAAGTTCACACATTAACTTCTGAGGTGAAGGCAGTGGATGGAGTTTAGTGATTTAAATGATGTTTTCTTTCTCGCTTTTATGTAAATATATTTCTTTTTTTTTAATTGTTTGAGTTAATTTTGGATATATTTGAGAATAGTATGTATATAAATATATTACAACTTTTTCTTTCTTCTGTAAACAGGAATAAGGTTTTGCCTTTTGTTTGATTTTTTATGTCCCGTGTTTCTATCGTAATGAAGGTTGTTGTGGGGAGATCTTTGTGTCACTGAAGATTGCTTTCAATGATCGCAAAATAAAAAATATAAACAAATATTGCAATACTATAATTTCTCTTCTGGAAGTCATAAAAGAAAGAATAGGTATACGTTGGTTTGATAAGCCAAAAAAAAATAACCCCCGCTTGCTTTTGTCACTCAAGCAATACCAGTTTTTCAGTTTGATTTTTTCTTTAAATTTGTTGTCATTTCTTATTCTTCATTCTACCTCTCCTCTAATTTTAAAATAAAATACACTCTTTATGTCCCCAAATGAAGTATTGAAGTTCAAAATATGATGGTCGACATTTTTAAATATTGAGTAAGAAATACTGTTACTTTCACGATACATATATATCCATTTGGAGGTTTATGTCAAATGATTTTATTCACGCTAAATATAAGTGAGATTAAAAATCCAATATAATGTTACTATAATTAATTGATAATTTTACTAGTTGTTACACAGAACAGACTTTACAGAAAGAAACAAAGTCAAATTATAACTTCTACAATTAGTTTTAAACTATAATTGTTGTCTTGCCCAATCATTTCAAGTACAATTGCGATATCCCTTTAACATATATAAATATTAATTATCAGTTTGTATTTTTTTTTCTCTTATAATTTAATTTTGAATCCCATACACATGTTTTAATAATATTTATGTTTTGAAAGTATGTATTAACTGATAGGAATACACGTGTGACGCACGTGTCCAAAACTAGTGGGAAAAAAAGAGCCAAGTATAATAGTGGGTGGTCCATAAATTTCACAAATCAATCTACAAAAGATTGAGAGATAAGAGATTGACAAGATAAAAAGTAGTGGACTGAAAAACAAAGTGTGATTCTCAAAACCAAATAATTGATAGACATGGACCCATTAAGTGATGGAATAATTGAGTTTATAATTATTAAGCTTTGTGCACTGCTCTTACTTTTAGCTGTCCATATTTCATTCCAACACTATCTTACTTTATTGCTAAGTCACAACAATTCCAGCAATCTAGACTACCTCCACATATTTCTAATTTGAGTTATAGTGAATTCAACATATATGGCTGAAGCTTTCCTTCAAATTCTGTTAGACAATTTGACTTCTTTCATACAAGGGGAACTTGGATTGTTTTTTGGTTTTAAGGACGAGTTTGAAAATCTTAAAAGCGCGTTTACTACGATCCAAGATGTGCTTGAAGATGCTCAGGAGAAGCAACTCAAGGACAAGCCACTAGAAAATTGGTTGCACAAACTCAATGTTGCTGCATATGAAGTTGATGACATCTTGGATGAATGTAAATCTAAGGCAGCAAAACTCAGCCAGACTAAATATGGGTGTTATCATCCAAAGATTGTTCCTTTCCGTTACAAGATTGGGAAAAGGATGAAAGAAATGATGGAGAAACTAGATGCACTTGCTGCAGAACGAAGTAAGTTTCATTTGGAGAAAAGGACTATAGAAAGAGAAGCTGCTAGACGAGAAACAGGTGCTCATCTTACATATATTTTAGATAGAATTAGTATTACAACAATCTAATTAGTGTATATTCATTTTTTGCCGATTGTCATTTTCATGTGTTATGGACCGAGGGGAAGTTCCAAATTATTTTTTTTCTAATCTAATGTTTGTCTCAAGTCTAAACAGAGGTGGATCCACATTCAGATTTGTAATTCTACCACTTCCATCTAATTTATTTATTTGTTGAAGTTCTTAACATATATACATGGTGTAAGCCAGCTCAGATAAATCCATAGCTTACTCATAGGAAAAATACAAAAAAAACCTGAGTTGTTTTGAACTATACTTAACTTGGGTATCATTTTTTCAAAGTCAATCATGTTCTTCAACTCCCCCTGATTCAATCCCATGTCTGCTTATCCTTGTCTCTTTATAGTGCAAAGATCTTCTCTGTTTTTTCGCTGCACTCCTACCGAGCTTGAGTTTAACAGTATTCTCGTGTGAACATATATTGCTTGCAACAGGTTTTGTTTTAACTGAACCAGAACCTTATGGAAGGGACAAAGAGAAGAATAAGATAGTAAAAATCCTTACAAACAAAGTTTGTGATGTCCAAGAGCTTTCAGTCCTCCCAATACTTGGTATGGGGGGACTAGGAAAGACGACTCTTGCCCAAATGGTCTTCAATGATCCGAGAGTGATCGAGCATTTCGATCCCAAAATATGGATTTGTGTCTCAGAAGATTTTGATGAGAAGAAGTTGATAAAGGCAATTGTAGAATCTATTGAAGGAAAGCCACTTGGTGACGACATGGATTTGGCTCCACTTCAAAAGAAGCTTCAGGATATGTTGAATGGAAAGAGATACTTTCTCGTTTTGGATGATGTTTGGAATGAAAATCAAGAAAAGTGGGATAAGATAAAAGCAGTCTTAAAGGTTGGAGCACGAGGTGCTTCTGTTCTAGCCACCACTCGTCTTAAAAGGGTTGGATCAATTATGGGAACTTTGCAACCATATGAATTGTCACTTCTGTCTCAAGAAGATTGTTGGTTGTTGTTCATGAAACGTGCATTTGAGAACCAAGAAACAATAAATCCTAACCTTGTGGCTATCGGAAAGGAGATTGTGAAAAAAAGTGGTGGTGTGCCTCTAGCCGCCAAGACTCTTGGAGGTCTTTTGCGCTTCGAGGAACAAGAAAGGGAATGGGAACATATCAGAGATAGTGAGATTTGGAATTTGCCTCAAGATGAAAGTTCTATTCTGCCTGCCCTGAGACTTAGTTATCATCATCTTCCACTTGATTTGAGACAATGCTTTGCATATTGTGCAGTATTCCCAAAGGACACTAAAATGGAAAAGGAAAATCTAATCTCTCTCTGGATGGCACACAGTTTTCTTTTATCAAAAGGAAAGGAGTTAGAGGATGAGGGTAATGACGTATGGAAAAAACTATGCTTGAGGTCTTTCTTCCAAGATATTGAAGTTAAAGATGGTAAAACTTATTTCAAGATGCATGATCTCATCCATGATTTGGCTACATCTCTGTTTACGGCAAGCACATCAAGCAACAATATCCGTGAAATAAATGTAAAAGGTTACCCACATATGATGTCAATTGGTTTCGCAGTGTCTTCTTACTCTCGTTCTCACTTGCAAAAGTTTGTCTCGTTGAGGGTGCTTAATCTAAGTGGCTTACTGTCACGCCCCGAGCCTACACCCTGGGCGGGACCGGCACCCGGAGACCATTTCTAGCCCCAAGCGAACCCTTGGCCTGGCTTTCTTAACTCAGCGGAAACCTCAACAGAATAACTCAATGCAATGCAATATTACAAAACAACTTAACTTATAAAATATGGCCATAAAGGCAACTCGAATCTCAAAATAGAATATTTACATATATATATAGATGAGAGACTCAAAACTAACTGACTGACTGTCTGTCTATGAAGCCTCTAAAATACTGAGATGGATGTTGGGACAGACCCCGCAACATCCTAATAAAACAAAAACTAAGAACACAAAATAATTGAGTCCTCCGGAATGCAAGGAGGCTCACCACTGACTCTGGAGTGCTCAGCTGGATCAACGACGTGCAGGATGCTGATCCGGGGTACCTGAATCTGCATCATCAAACGATGCAGGCCAACTGGCATCAGTACATGGAATGTACGAGTATGCAAGCTGGAAAGCTAAGCAACAAAGGCTAGAAGGAAAACTGGAAGAAACTGAATAGCTTACCTGGCTCAACTTAACTCAACCTGACTGACTTCTTTCAATATAAGGCAATTTAAAACAAGTGCGATATAAAGAAAGATTGCTTAAAACATGCTATGAACTCTGTGTGTATACAAGGATACAATAAGCCTGAAATGTGTATAAAAATACAATGAACTGATGTATATAAAAAAATACAATAATCTCTGTGTATGAAAAATACAATAACTGCTGTGGGAGTTTCTCTAACCGACAACCATCACATAAGAGCTATAGTGATGATACAGCGATCGACCTCACGCTGCCAGAGCATCTTATACCCGGCCAAAGGTATAAGACCTGAACTGCCTAATGGATCCACTAGTCTAATCTGAAAAGGATTCATCTAAAAAGTATGATCCTTTTCTACCCATGGTGGCTAACATGGTTCTATGGGGGCTGTGGGTTCTTTGAACGCTCCCCCAATTCGGTGCTCGATACTACTCCCAAAAATGTACTGGCTCTTATGTTTTTAAAACATATTTCTTCCTGCTGATATGAGATAATTACTCAAAAACTAGCCCGAAGGCTTTTTGGAAATCTCAGTTTCCAACCTTGTTTAAATGTAAAAACATTTCTTTAAAACTTCTTTGGGAATACATAGTTCCCTAATAACTTTGAGAAAAGAACTCAACTTTAAACTCTTTACTTTACTTGAACTCTTGGCTTGATGTGAAACTCTTAACTTAACATGAAACTCTTAACTTTTGACTTGACTTGAAACTCAATACTTAACTTGGAACTTGAGCCTTAGAATGAAGTTAAAACGCTCAATGAAGACTCTTGGAAAACCTTAAAGACTTGCTTTGACTTACTTACTTCTAAGCTTGACTTCACTTGACTTGGAAACTAACTTCACTTGAATTGGAAACTAACTTCACTTGACTTGGAAACTAACTTCACTTGACTTGTAGTTTTACTTGACTTTTGGAAGTACCTTGGAGTGTTGGAAACAACTAGGAAACATAGGTATAATACCTAGGAACATGTATAAAAAAAGAAATGGTGAATGAAAGGGAAGGATTGGTGTCCTTGGCACTAGGAGAGGTGCAACAGCCCAGCCCCTTTTTCCCCAAAAATCTGACTTTTTCCCCTTGTTTCTTTCCAATTCTAAACCCTCTCAACCTCAAGGTTTCAGCAGCAACACTTAGAATCATAAAGACCCTTATTATACAATAGATTCAACTCAAAAATCACAGCCAGAAATCTGTACTAAATCAGCAAGAACTTCAACACAACACCACTACAACTTCAACAACCAATAAATCTTCTCTTGGAATTAAAAACGAGTTGGTGTGTGGGGGTATGAACCAACCAACACTAAGGATCATAAAATCCCTCAATATACAATAGGTCACAACTCAAATACACAGCCCAATCCTGTCCCACAACCAACAATAACTTCAACAACACAACTAACAACATCAACAACAACTAACAACTTCAACAACTTCAACAACAAATCCAATCTCTTCTCAAATCATAAAAACGAGCTTGGTATGTGGGGGGAAAGGATAAACCCACACTAAAGACTCACATACCTTGATAGGGATCACCCCCGACGAAAATCCACAATGATCTTGACAAATCTTGTTGATCTCCTCTTTCTTCTCTTCTTCTTCTCCTTCTTCTCTTCTTCTTCTCTTGAACCCTAACTCTTTCTCTTTCAAAATGGGACAAAATGATCCAAATATCAGCCTAATACAACAATATAAGCTCAAAAGAAATTATTTGTGAAAAGACCAAAATGCCCTTAAATTTCCGGAACGGAATCCCTGCCAACTGCCCAACTTTCAAAGATCATAACTCGCTCATACGAACTCGGAATCAAGTAAACTCAGTGGCGTTGGAAAGATCGTTCCACAAGCTTCGAAACCATAACTGGAACTACTCCTAAATCATCCTGATCTAGGAGTTATGACTGCTCAAAGTTGGCCAAAAACTCACTGATTTCCACACTTAGCCAAATTTTCCAGATTTTAAATTTTTCCAAAAATGACTATTTCCAAATTTCAAGCTTCTTCATATTCATTTTTAAATTGTCGGATGTTACACTTACCACTTAAGCAGTTACCGTCTTCCATTGGAGATCTAGTACATTTAAGATACCTAAACTTGTCTGGCAATTGGAATATGCTTAGTCTTCCGAAGCAGTTATGCAAGCTTCAAAATCTGCAGACTCTTGATCTACATGATTGCGACTCACTTTGTTGTTTGCCAAAAGAAACAAGTAAACTTGGTAGTCTCCGAAATCTTTTACTTGATGGTTGCTATGGATTGACTTGTATGCCACCAAGGATAGGATCTTTGACATGCCTTAAGACTCTTGGTTGCTTTGCAGTGGGAAGGAAGAAAAGTTCTCAAATTGGTGAATTACGAAACCTGAATCTCTATGGCTCAATTGAAATCACGCATCTTGAGAGAGTGAAGAATGAAATGGATGCAAAAGAAGCCAATTTATCTGCAAAAGAAAATCTGCATTCTTTAAGCATGAAATGGGATGACGATGATAGATATGAATCAGAAGAAGTTGAAGTGCTTGAAGCCCTCAAACCACACTCCAATCTGACTTGTTTAAAAATCAATGGCTTCAGAGGAATCTGTCTCCCAGACTGGATGAATCACTCAGTTTTGAAAAATGTTGTCTCTATTGTAATTAAAGATTGCGAAAACTGCTCATGCTTACCACCCTTTGGTGAGCTGCCTTGTCTAGAAAGTCTAGAATTACGTACTGGGTCTGCGGAATTGGAGTATGTTGATTCTGGATTCCCTACAAGAAGAAGGTTTCCATCTCTAAGAAAACTTATTTTATACAGTTTTTATAATCTGAAAGGATTGCTGAAAGAGGAAGGAGAAGAGCAATTCCATGTGCTTGAAGAGATGACAATTGACGGATGCCCTATGTTTGTTATTCCGACCCTTTCTTCTGTCAAGAAATTGGTAGCTCATGGGGACAAGTTAGATGCAATAGGTTTCAGTTCCATATCTAATCTCAGGGCTCTTACTTCCCTCCACATTATCGAAGCTACTTCACTCCCAGAAGAGATGTTCAAAAACCTTGCAAATCTCAAATACTTGAAAATCTCTTACTACTACAATCGCAAAGAGTTACCCAGCAGCCTGACTAGTCTAAATGCTTTGGAGAATCTGAGAATTGAATGTTGTGGCGCACTAGAGAGTCTCCCAGAGGAAGGGCTGGAAGGTTTAACTTCACTCTCGAAATTATCTGTTTATGAGTGTGAGATGCTAAAATGTTTACCGGAGGGATTGCAGCACCTAACAGCCCTCACAAATTTATCAGTTAGGTATTGTCCAACACTGGCCAAGCGATGTGAGAAGGGAATAGGAGAAGACTGGTACAAAATTGCTCACATTCCTAATGTGTTTATCAGTTAAGTCTTATTCCTAATTAGATGTAATTTTCTGATTTTTCTTTTGGAAACAAATCAACTATTTGTATTATACTTGATTTTTCTTGGGTCTGTAACAATAAATATTTGAATTTTTTCATATAAAGATTCAGAATTAGTCTTATAGCTAACTGTATCTTCTCATAGTTTAATAACGTCAATATAATATTTATATTACATTATTACTTATGTTGTGATTTATCAACATGTTGGAGATGATTTTGACAGTTTATTAAAGAATTTCAAGTTTTTATTGTTTGCACAAGTAAACAAGCCATAAATTAAATTTTGAGATAAAAGTGATTTGTGTATCATGGCTTAAGTCGGAATTTCAAGTTTTTTTCTTAATTATAAGTTATATATATGGCATTTTGTAAAAATTGGATAGTGTGAATTTTGATTTTATTCAACAATGTCTTGTATTTATTAAGATATGAGAACGTGCGTTGCACGTTTGACCTCTACTACCATATAAAATTTATACATAAGAATTATATGATGAAAAACGCAAAACTGCAATGGATTGACCTTTTATGTTAAATTCTAAACGGTATACCTCAAAAGTTGTGAAAAAATGCAAATATAATAGAGAAAAGAAAAATATAAATACCTAATTTTATAGATGAATATTGTTGTGTTGACAAAACGGCACCAAATAATTGTTAATAAAGTTTCCTCCTAATTTTTCACTAATAGATGAAGAATGAAGAACATAAGAACCTGCTAAGAATTTATTGAAATTGAAAACTGAAAAGAAGAGTCATTATTCCATAATCAATTTAAATGAATATAGAAATGAGAGAAGTCAATTGGTTTGCCTTTTCATTTACTATGGCTTTACGTCTACCACTCTTCTATTTTTTTTATTCTAACTTTATTTATTTATTATGTTTATAGAATTTATATTTATAATTTTTCACTTAAATGTTCTTAACATAATATTTGCTTAAAAGATAAAAGAATTATTCAATACTTCATGAGCTTTAATCTATAAGGGTTAACAATTAAAACTCATTAAAAAGTGATAATGATAAGTTGTAACATCAAATCATGTATTTGGTCTAGTTTAATTGTCATTATTAATTTGATTTTAGAAATTAGTAAAATGTATTTTTTTAATTAAAAAAATTAGTGGACATATTCGTAATCCAACTTTGACTATAAAATCTTCCCACTTTTAATATAATATATAATATATGATATACAAATAATATAGAATACATGCGCTAAGCACGTACCCAGAAATTAGTATATAAAAAATCATGTCCGAAAAAATAAAATGTAATTCTTTTGTCCTTGTTGAAAGGAAATGTGTGTGTTTTTAAGCTTTCCTCTGACGGAGATGAAGACAAACCAACCCCACAAGAAAGGACATGTGAAACTGGCTAGCAGTTTCCATTAATATGCATACAAATTACCAAGATAAATCTTTTATTAATAAAAAATGGAAACAATTCATATTTAAATTATTAGGTGCGCAACTTTCCTTGAAGTATCACCAACTACCTCGACATTTTTGTTGATATATACTAACTAGTGTACTTATTTGTGCTTCGCACAGGTATAAAAAGATATTAAATATATTTTTAAATAATTAATAAATGATACAATAAAAGAGAGAAATACAAATTAAGTGATGATTCTGATATTATCTATTCAGAAAAATTGCTAAAAAAAAAAAAATCTCATGTTGCATTTTTAATTTGAAATTGTTGATAAAAAAGACGAAAACATAAAAATTGATATGAAGAGTTTCGGTTAAGTTACAATCTCACGTGTCTTTTTTTTTGTATAAATGATTCTATAATAAAAAATAAACAAATCAAAATATATGTTGCTAAATAATGGTGAGAAAAAAAGTACATGAATTATATTCGAATATATTTGTAAATGAAATTCAAAAGTTAGAGATTTCTTTTTTCGATATTCGATGCTCGTACTGGTATTCATTTACTCCATATTTGTGTCGCATAAAATTCATTAATATTAAAAAGTTATATTTAAACTTTCATTCTTATTGCATGCATTGCGAGAAGAGAGAATTAAGTTGCTATAGTGAGACAATGCCGTTGAGGTTTTACTTTACAATAAAAATAAAATTAAATTAAACACATAATTTAATAGAGATTATCAAATAGTGACGAAGAAATAATTTTTAAAAAAGAATACGTGTAAGCAACGTTGAAGATGTAGAAAAAGACCAAGAGTTGAATAATTTTTTACAACACTAATACAATTATTCCTATTATTGCAATATTATTGTGGTAATTATTATACATGTCTCAAATAGGTTTATATAAGTGTCATTTTAAGGAGTTATAAATCTGAATATTAAATTATTTGAAGGTTATGAATATGAAAGGTTTGGAGTTATTATATTACTAAATTAATTAATATTTAAATTTATGTAATTGAAGAGGTATGAATTAAGAAGATGATGTTATAAAATAAAATAATTGAAAAAAATTAGAAAAAATGTCAAAAGAAAAACCACAAAAGATAAATAGGATTCTTGGCCATTGAGAGGCATCACATCACTTCTTTTTTAATACGGGTTACACGCGCATAGCGCGTTTCCAGAAACTATATATATATATATTATTATTATTATTAAAAGTGGGAAGGTTCAAATTGCAAAAATTGAATTACCATTTTATCCTTTTATTAAATTAAAATATTATAAAATATTTAATATTTAATTAATTAAAATACTAAACAACAATCATATCAAATATAAATACAATATAATAATAAATGTGCATCTTCCAATAAGTTATAAAGTTTGTTTGGGAATTAATTAAGAAGTTATATTCTCATTTTTCAACCTTCATAAAACTTTTGAGCTTTCTACATTGATCAATGTGCAGATAAAACTTTTGAGCTTCTTACGTTGATTAATGTATTAATTATATAACTAATCATTAATCTAAGTTGGTGTGTTATATATATAAAAACTTTTTTCTTGCAAAGACATTTAATAAAAAAAAGTTTAAAAAATAATAGAAAAAGTAATATATGAATGTAATCCAATCTAAATGGATAAGAACGTGGGAAGTTCTTATCTTCAAAGTTGGATTACTATTTGCCCCTATGATATTATATATTTAATTATTTAAAATATTAAATAGTTGCACATTTGCACTACTCATCCAAATCTGCTCATATTCTCTTCACGTTAATAAATCAAGAAGACATAATTCCTCATTAAACAGTATAATATCAAATTAGTTACAAACTTTTTACTTTTTGATTTCTTTTTATTTTTCTTATTTATGTTCTATATTTAAGAATCCAAAAGAACATAATTTTACATTTAATATTTGTAATGACCCTCTTGGTCATTTCTGTGTCTTGCCTTCTGTGTGTCGTTTAGAGCGTTCCTATAACGACCCCAAGTCATTAATGACTTGCTGGGACTGACAGTTCGGTCACCTGGTCGTTCGTTTGGTCTTGGTGCGAGTTTTTGTGTTTTGGAGCTTATGAACCTTAAACGATCATTTTCGATCAAAAGTTCAAGAAGATGACATCAGAATCCAATTCTGACGATTCCATCAGCTCCAGAAGGGTCATTTTAGGCTAGTAGCATGGTCGACATGACTCCCGAGGTTTTCAGTGTGAGTCAGTGCAATTAGGCGTTTTAACTTTAAGTTTAAGCCTAAGTTTGACTTTGGTCAACATTCTGAGTAAACGCGCTCGGATGAGAATTCTGTCAGCATGGTTAGCTCCGGAATGTCGAGTTTGGTCTAGATTGACCCTTCTTTTGTGTCTGGAGGTTTTCGATATCTTTCCGAGCCCTTTTGTGGGTTTTGACTTAAAATGGCTTTTGGAAGTGGGACCCACTTTTTATCGAAATGACCTCTGATGGAAATTTCGACTACGCCGTTGAGTCTGGAATGTTGAATTTGGTATGGTTGCATATCTCGTTTGCGTGCACGGGGTTCCGAACGAGTTCGGAGCACCCCGTCGGAGTTTTTAGTTTTTGGGAAATTGCAGATTTTCTGCAATAAATACAGAAAAACCAGCAAAAATTCCAAAACTTCAAACCCTCATCTCTCAACCGATTTGGGTGATTCAAAAGGCAAAGTTGTGAGATTTTTCGAGGACAACGTGTTGGTGAGCTCGGATAGTGATTTGGAGTCCCCGTTTGAGGTAATTTTCGAAAAATACCTGCTGCCAGACCTCTTTTTGTGAGCTTGATTTTGGAAATTTTTGAGACTTGTTTTCTTAGCCATTTTAGATCCGATTTTGGTGATTTTTGAGGCTATCTTGAGTGGTTTTTCGAGGAGAACATTGTGGTGTTGTCATATTTTACTGTAGACCGCTCGTTTTTGGTAAATACACTGCTGTCCCATTTCTAATTTTTGAGAAAATTTGGGTTTTAGTTGCATGTTGATATTGTGTTGTTCCCGAGCCCCGAATGGTGTCCCATTTTGGGACATGAGCTGGGGGAACTGGTTAGGACCCACTTTTGGGGTTAATTTTGGAATTTCCTGCGCGGGTCCCACGATTCCCGTTTTGACTCCAAAATTGACCCGTCTCCGTTTGTTGTGATTTTGGTGTCTAAACGACCGTATTAACGTTGTGACTCTATTTTTGATAGCGGGGAAGCGTTTCGAGACCGTTCATAAAGGGAAAGCTCCGAAGGAGTGATTTTGGAGCGCGTGTGATCGGCCTACAGGTAGGCTACGGTTTCCCTCTCTTAGATTGAGCTCGAGAATGTGAATGCATGTTGATTAGTTGGGATTTGGGTTGGGTAGTTATTGAATCCTACATAGGTGTTAAGAAATCATGTTTTCGGCCTATTTCGGGAATTATCGGGTAACTGTGAGTATGCTTTGTGTTATCAATGGACCATTCTCGCTATGTGGAGTGCTTGCATGCTTAATTATTGTTTATTTGAAGAATGTTGGGCCTTAGTTTAGGTTTGACTAGGGCTTGCCTTAGAAATACATTATTCGGATCCAATAGGCCTTAGTTTTGCCCCGACGTCGCTCGGCCGACTTAGATCCCTGTAGACTGGTGTAGCAGACTTGAGTCTGATAGTTTGGGCCTTAGTTAGGCGATACTCTTTCTCCAACTTTACTTATCCTTATTTTTCCCCGATGT